TATTGTTTGGCCTTCTGTTTTGAATTTTAATAATCACTATGCACAAAACAAAGCAGCCAAAAACATTTCTATGGAAGAAAAAGTTATAATTCGGTTAACTTTTAATCCTGGGTTAGCGTTAACCACCTTCCGAACAATCCTGCTGTGTACGTTTTCAACAAAGTAACCTGACATGAGTCCGCGATCCAATCGAAAACCAGCACTTGGCCAGCGGTCAACTTCAAAAAACACGTGACGTCGATGAACAGTAAACTTGAGCCCGCAATATGGTCACGTGATACTGGTCAGCGGATACTTCGCGTGTCTTGTGAATTATTATATATGATAAACCACTTGGGATGTTGGAAGAACACTCGGAAAATTCGTAAACGAATTCTTCTGATGGTCTTCCAACATCCCGCGTGGTTTATCAGCCTATAAACCATAAAAAACTTGTAGTCTATTGCCTAAATAGCCCATATAAGGGAGTACCTCACCCCCACCCCAGCGGGTTTAAACCGCGGCAAATTTATGAGCCAGCCGGCGTAAAGCAAACGATTTCTTCGCAGACTTTTTTTTCTTTTGAGTTGGGAGGTATAACAAAACACTTAATGACTGGTCCCGCGGGAAACAGTGAGTTTTGTTTCCGCTCGACCTCAATGTTGAGGGTCTCGGGGAAACAAAACTCACTGTTTCCCTTGGGACCAGTCATTAAGTGCTTATTGACGCTTGATTACGATTTCCGATGTAGATTAAACTGCTCAGCCTAAACCTAAACAACAACGAGGCCACTCTCTGCTTCAAACGCTCTAATTTCGTTTAGGATCAATGCAAAGTGCAAACCATTAAATACAGGCCATTGCGCGTCGAAACATTTGGTATTTACGTTTGGCAGAGCCATGCCATACATGCTTGGAGGTAAGGTGACTCGCATGCCAGAAAGCTCTGTTCGAAGCGCGCGATAGGAAGAATCTTCAAACAGCTAGCACTTCGGCTTTTGAAACTGCGCTACGACAGGCAGGCACGCAGCCAGGCAGCACTTGAAAGCAAAGCTCGCATCAGGTTTAAGATGGCCGAACACAGTTTTCGCGCGCGCTTTTGCTGATGCAATTCAGCACGCGCTAAGGATTGCAAAAAACAAACATGCCGTCAACAGAGTGATCATTTTATTTACTCAACACCCGCACTATCTTCGCCATTTTTCTCTATAATTGAACGCAGTGTATTGATGGCT